CTGCCAACGTCACTGGTGGAAGGGCGGAGTGAAATGTGGCTAAACGGCCTTACGCAGCCCTTCCACCGATGTCAGAAACCGCTCCCACCCATCGTGCCTTTGGTTACTCAGTGTGATGGATGAGTTTATTGGAAAAAAGAAGACGCATCGCTCATATAACATCGAACGTCTTGGAAAAGAACATACCGGCAGAACATTCTCCGGTTCGAGACCAGGGTGAACTATGAGTTCCGGCGAAAACGTTTTTATAACAGGAGCAGCTTCAGGAGCACAAATGACGTGGACCAAATCAGCACCCTGAACAAAGACATTTACAAAATGAAGCCCACAGTAGACGAGTTTAACAAATTTCAAGCCTCGGGCTACCATAACTCTCTTACGTGATACCTTTTGGAATGCCATAATGTTTTTCAGCTACCTTGTTGGTCATGTATCATATAGACCGGCCACGTTTACGCGTTCATACTGTGCGAATCTGCTGGTTGGGACAGTCGGCGACTGAGGACTAGGTGAAGTAAATCGATTCCCATCTGATTATCGCGGATTCTATGATTTGCGCTGTACGGAATCAGGTATTCTTCGGAAACGACATTTGGGCGGGATCAATCGATTCTCATCCAGTGCATTATGGCCGAATCCCTCGTGCAATAAGTATTCTTGCCCTTCCATGCCTTTTCGCGTGTCTGACTGCCTATTCTATCGGATCACAGATTCTGCGTATTCGCAAAGTATGAACGCGATAATCAGCGATGGGTCATCTAAGCTGAACACCGCGCGGCCATATACGCGATTCTCAGTTTCGCCTTTATAACCGAAATTTATGGAACACATAAAAAAATTATTGAAGAAACCGCTCACCAGTCTTAATGCAGAGATTGCGGCAAAAAACGGGGCACCCGTGTACTCGATAGAACCACCGATCACAGCTATCTTGCCGCATTTTCCCTTGAAATGAAATTTGTACGGCAAATATTGCAACATCAACATCATAAAATAGTGCATGGAAGTCAAGAAAGTCCACAACATTATTTGCATTCACAAATCTTTAATCATTTTCGGTTGACTGTCAAAATGAAGGAGAATTCTTCCCTGTTTCTGCCCCTTCACTCAATTAAAGGGTTTTCACCTTACGCTAGTTTTCCTCCTCTCTAGGCTAGAAGCAGAAAGATAGAAATCGTTGTTAATCATATTTCAGCTTTGTAGAGAACAACAACCATTTTGTGACAGCTTGAGCCAGTCGGCTTTTAGACTTGTGCCAGCATAACGAGATTGCAAGGGAAGGAGGGGAAGGCGTGAAGGTGTCCGGGAATGGGGAAGAGATTGGGGGAAAGATTACAGTCAGCGGTTCACCTTTACCTTTTAACACGTTCGAGGCGGCGTGTACTCCCGGGAGTACACGCGGAAACCCCTTTTTTGGCCATTCGTACAATATTTCGAAAACACGCGCATATTTTTTTGTTCTTTTTGCGACTGATTATATTCTACTAGCATACATTTACACAATTAACACATCAATACGAAGAAAAAATTGTAAAAATAAGCCAAAAACAACGAACGAACGTGAGTTCTGGGCGAAATGGCCTTCGCCTCGAATGTGTTAAATATTTCATACAACTACTCGCCCAACTCGATGACGGGCGGTGGGAGTGAGAAAAGGGAGCAAGTTGATGGAAGTGGGTGGGAGATAGAGAGAGGCTGGCAAACAACTCCCACACTCCTCTTGGCGTCCCTAATATTTGGCTCTCTTCCTACCAAGAAGAAATAAAAAAGCATGGTTTTTCCGGAAAAAAGTGGTCTTATAGGAACTGATGCAGCTCATAGTTGAAGTACAGGGAATCGCGCCCGGAACGCCGACGTTACTCGAAGTGAAGAGCACTCTGGAGCAGCTGTTCGGCTTGAAGGAAGCATTCTGTACTCGTACAACCTTAGCTAAGTATAACTTTGGTGGTCGCTCTAACCATAAGCTGAAAGCGTGCACCCAATATATCGGATATTTTCACACCAACTGGGCATAAAGAAGGAATCCACTTGGTTTCTCATCGAATCAATGTGAAGACGAGAAAAATATAGGATTTTATGGGAAAACAAAGCCACCTTCCACAAGCTATTTCCCAGTACCGGCAACAACTTACGAACGTGTTCCATCTGAATCTGAAAGAATCCAGAATTTATCAAACCCTATCAAATATTATTCTCCTTGGAACGCAATAATGGATTATACCAACTGCTCATATCTGCTATGCCTTTATATAACAACAGAGATATGTACATTTATTTATCAGGAACGTCTCAATGTTTCAATACTAATCAATATG